ATTTTTAATTTTAAGTTACTTTTGTATTGCATTGCTTGTTTGGTTCTGTTTCTGAAACTATTTTTTTTTTCTATTTCTACTTCTGTACTGTACCAGGCTCATATTGGATGACACAGTTGTCAATCACAAATAGGGCCATGCTGCTACATAGAACACACATGCGTGTGTCATGAATGCCTTACATAATCCCTGCCATTTCAACAGGTAAAATAGATATGTTCAATGTACTGTTTCACAAAAAGAGGGGTGAAAGACAAATATTGATGTATGTTAGGGTAACACATGATTGTTGTAGCAAACGTCAACTCTACTGCATTCACAATGTCATGAGGGCATCAAAAGAACAAGAAGGTAAGGAGAAAGTGAAAAAGAAGGTAAAGAGGAAGTGAGAGAAAGTGATGTAAGGGTCAGGTCAGACAGTAAATAAAATATTTTTATCACATGAAGGTAAACCAATTTTACCAAAATCATTCTTTAAATGAGCTGTTGAATTGAGCCATGGGCCTTGCCATGTCTCAACAGGAGGGACGGTGAATACCATAAACAAAGTATTCACCACCTATGGATTTAATAATTACTAAAAAAAGAAAATGTTTTTGTACAGCATGTCTAACATGTGCTAAACATAATTCACAAGGAAACATCCGACCAAAAAGAGTTAAGTTCCCAAAACCTAATTACCCGTTCCAGGTGCTACATATGGATTTCATTGAACTCAATAAAAGTGAAGGACAGAAATACTGTCTAGTCATAGTGGATGCCTTTTCTAAATGGGTAGAATTGTTCCCATCAAAAGCTGCTGATGCTATTACAGTGGCAAAAGCATTGGTCAAAGAGATTATACCAAGATTTGTGACAATAGAAATTATTACCGTACATGAACCAAGTCATATAAAACATAAGCCAAAAGATGAAAATAAATTGTGCTAAAAACAAAAGAAATACAAAATTCTAACCCTATGCCAGATACATCTATATCTTTGCAGAGTGACAGTACGCCAATCCAGGTCGGCGACTGGGTGCTGATAAAGGTCATCAAAAGGAAGTGTTGGTCGAGTCCAAAGTGGAAAGGCCCATACCAGGTCCTGCTGCGATGCCTACAGCCATAAAGATTGCTGAACGACCATCTTGGAATCATCTTTCGCATCGCAAGAGACAGAGGTTCTTGGTACAGGATCCCATTGGTTGGGGGGAAGTCCGACTACAAAGGGGTGTAGCTATACGGAAGCTATACGTCGCAATGTTGGTGAAGCAGGGAGATCCTCAGCCATTTAGCGTGATTACTGTATTGGGCTAACCATAGTCCTGCAGACATAAGATGATTGACAAAGAGAGTGAAGTGCT